GAAAAAAGAATAGAGTTCAGAAAAAAAACACGTATGTGTGTTTTTTCCGTAATAAATTGTAATGTAATGACTTAGATTAAGTCGCAATTATTGTTTGTTAACAATGTCCCTAAAGTACATGGTATCTTTCCTTTGAAGTACTTCGAGGGTCAAGGTATGGCCTGCTTTTTCGCCAGCGCAGGACCACCGAGACGGCGCCAGAGAAAGTTCAACCCGTGGATGTGACCCTCTCCTGAGATGTGGAGTGGATGGAGTGGGTTGATCATCATTGGTACAGTTATGGCCATTTACCAGTTATAAGTGGTTATAAATGGGATTATACATTCTATAAATGGAGTTATAAGTACTTATAACTGATAAATGGCCATCACTGTATGATGACAATTTGGGGGTTTCCTGAAATGGGCATATCCCAATAGCTGGATGGTCAACAAAAAGGAAAATCCTGCAAAGATTGATGATTTGAGGGAATATACCCTCTGGTAAACTAACCTAACTATGGAAAATGACCATTGTTCATGGGTAAATCAACTATCAATGGCCATTTTCAATTCTTTGATTGAAGGAAATTGTTGATAGCGCTGCAAATCCAAGCTCTAATGGCTGCGTGAGGCACCAACATGATGTGCGTGTGTGTGGACTCTTTTTTTTTCATATTTATTTGGACCCAAAAGTACAGTTTTGAATATTTCTGTCAAATTGCTGTAATGTGGTAAACCCAAAAAACATCTTTCCATCTCCAATGACTTTCCAGAAATGGGTCGGGGTTATACCCAATTGGGGCGCAATTTTGGATTCACCAAGCTCGAGCCAAGTGGCAAATACTGTCGGTTCACAAGGCCATCAATGATTTAATTCGACAGTGTTCAAAAGCCTAGTTGGTTGATGAAGAAAAAGGGGATTATACTACCCTTTATATACTGGGGATTACGATAATCCAAGAACGGGGAACCCGAACAACCCAAGCAGTATAGTGGAATGACAGGGTGATATTGAATACTGCCCAATTGTTAACTGGCTTTCTTGTTGGGTATGATAGGTTGGAATATGTTGTATCCTCTAACATTTATATATTGATTTTCATGGATGTCCGAATCTAAGCTTAGTTAGCAAGTCTCGTCACGTTCAGACATCAAAGCTCACAAGGTTTCTCTCCTAAGCAGTTCTCATCGAGCGGATAAGTTCTGATCAATTAATACAGCCAATCCATCCCACCCTGTAAAGCTCATGAGCCTTGCTCAATCGTTTGTACACAGTGACCGTGCTGCGCAGATGCCGTAGTCGTAGTAGTGACCGTGTTCTCTGAAGCACAGTGACCGCGCAGTGATGCTTGCACACACTTTTGAAGTTGTTGATTTCCTACAGAACGAATCGGCTTGTTTTTGATCTATTCGGCTTTGGGGGACGATGATATGTTTAAGTCATGAAACTATCAACCAGAAAGTGTTTGTCATTGAAATACCATGAAAAAAAGGAGGTGTCCTGTAAATGTTCCCAAAAACCAATCCATTGAATAAATAGATACTGTAACCATTGGTTATATTATCAACCTTCGGTATATATATATAATATATATATATAAATATGACCATTTGACAAAAATAGTTGTTTAGAAGTTTAGTATTGGTTGTCGATAATTCATCTGGGTCTACTGTTTTTTCCTCTTCGTTATGAGGCGGCACGCAACTAAATTCGGCAATTCTGCAAGGCAGCGCTAGCAAACCCGCTAGGTTTGCGCTAGCTTTGATTGACAGCCATGGCCTCCATGTCGTGAATGTCTTGCCAGCTTTTCTTACAAGTCTGTCAGTTTCCACATATTACCAAATTTTCGATTTTTTTTACGTATTTTACGCGCTAGATCGCCGCTAGCAACGCGCTAGCGAAAATTGCAAATGCATGCCCCGGTCCACCCGCAGCCCATTCAGAGGCACAGCCATGTTCACGCTTTGGTAGCTTATAGTAAGGAAACAGCGTTGATCAGGAGGCATGTCAAGAAGCATATTGCATTCAGAGAGGCACACACACAGAGACACACAGTTCAGGAGATAGTACCAGCGACAGCGAATGAAAACCGACGTGCGTTAGCCGATTCCTGTGGTTTTAGAAAGATTTCCAAAGGTAACGCAGAATTTCCACGTTTTCACCTCATCAAGGTAGGTCATGTTTTTTAAAGGCAAACATGAGGCGGCACGAATGGAATTGCGATTTATCAACAAAACCGGGAACAGACATTTTGACAAACCGTCATATACATATACATATATATATATATTAATTAATATAGTATAGTATACATAGTATAGTATAACCATTGGTGTTTGCCAAGACTCATGAACCTACAGCTCTTTTGAGTCGTCGCTGCTCGTCACAAGCATTGCATCCTGGGCTGCTCCGCTCGGGCCTTTGTCGGACCGTCATCCAGAACATGGCATGGTAAAAAAAAATCCATGTGTTCAGATTTGGAAATCCCAGGAAATTCCATGTCATTAATCAGAATGTATCATAATGTATGATCATACATCATCATGTATCATCATGTATCATCATGTATCATGATATATAATTGTATCATCATGTATCATCATGTATCATGTCCACATGTTATATGACCATGACGTAGGCCCGTGGACCATGCCCATCTCCAGAACTGGGTGCTTTAGGGAGCGTCCCGGGGACAGCCTGGATTTTTCTGCGCGACCGCGGGTGGCAACTCAGTTTTTTGTAAAATTTGGGCACAAAAAATCGCTAGAGAATTGTGAGAAAAATGGCTCTTCTATAAAACATGCGTGTTTAATTATAACATTTGGGAACATTGGGAAAATAGAATGCCCAACTAACAACTGACTTGGTCCCATGGTATCTCAGCTTAGCCTATGTGAATTTCATCTTACAACTGCTTACCTCGGAGTCTCAGCTGTCGGTTGGAGATAAACAAGACTGTCCAGCGAAACAAGCTCGTCCGTCACCCCGCTAATACAGTTGTATGATATAGTTATAGTCATGTACATGGTGTAGATTCAACATGAACTGATGAGCTGATTGAATGTGTTATGTATGTGTATATATATAAATACGTAATCATATATATATATATACACAATAAATATATATATATATATATACATATATATATATACATGACATATAGATATCTATAATATGTAAATATATACACATATGACAAGCCTTTGTTTGTTGATCCCAAGAGAGTCGATGGCTTCCATGATGACCAAACATGTCAGGTTCTATCATCATTTGCAAATGTGCAAGACTCTATCAGTTATGGCGATTTATCCGTTATAAGTACTAAGAAAACCCCATTTATAGAATGTATAATCCCATAGAAATAACCAGTTATAACTCATAAATGGCCATAACCGTATTCAACATCAGCAGTACTCATAGCTGATAACTCATTCGCCGTAAAATCTGTCTGATGGCCGCTCCTTGGGGGAATCCCCAGTGTCTGATGGCCGGACCCTTCACGCAGTGATGGACGTTCAAAAAACAAGCTGCAAGGGAGTCATGGCAACTATGGCCCCCAAGATGGCAAGGTAGTCATGACTAACGGTTTACTATACGGTTTATAGTAGATGAATAATGATGTCTACAGTCAAAGTCAACATTAGCCAACTGGGCTTATAAACCAGATTGGAACTGGGGGGTCATGTTCAACAGATTGATCAGTTTGAGTCCGTGCCCATGGTGCTATACCCTGAATGGCCTGCTGAAGTTTCAAAATAATTGTTTTTTGTAAGCGACATGGCCAAATGGGTGTCGGTTAAAATGGGAATACCCCAAATCTCACATAATATGTATATATATATATATATGTATCTATTCTATATATATGTATATATATATATACATATATATATATATATATATTTACACATTATACATGATTATATAGGTTTCAATAGCAAAATGGCGTGGTTTTGGATGATTTGGAGCTTTTCCCTTTAAGCGGTTTCAATCACCGCCTTGTCTTTAGGAGAAATCAGCCAGCAAGATTGTGGGACTCCGGCTCCGGCTCAGATGGGATTCCTGTGAAATACTGGGACTATAATGGGATGAAATAATGGGATGTTTACCATTTTATCGGCGCAGGATTTCCGAACCATCTGCAGTAGTGATGGATTCGAATGATCCGTATCAATGTATAGTAACTTAAAATTGTATGATGATGGTGTTGCGAGCAGATAGTGCTTTGATGTGATGAAAACTACTGGATATTCACTGTGATGCAAGATGGATATGAATCAGATCATTCTGTGAATCTTGTGAAAGGTCGAGACTGGGAATGCAACTTTCCATTCCGATGGCTAGGAGAATGCATTGGAAGCTCTAGTTTGACCTCAACCAGCTTGGCTCAATCATAAAACTGCAACAGCACTGCCTGGTGTTTCTGTTTTTTTTGCTGTACTTGGAATGATGATGCCATTTGACTAATCAACCAGGCAACATCAGGCAATATCAGGCAACTATTGATCAAGATGACATTTGATTCCTGGCTTGACAGGTTTTCACCTATCACTTTGAAACATGGCTGATTTCCCGGTGGGTTTTTGAAATGCTCCGCAACCGCAACCAGATGCGAGACCAGGTATGCAACCAGCGGGTACTCTTCCATGCTGGGATGGTCGATTTTGACTAGACTGACTAGCCTCTGGTTATGTCAAAATAGCTATTTAAAATGGCGGATCTTTCCAGTTAGCAAGTTATGTAAACGTTGACCAGAGGGTATACTACTGGCTTGATCTCATGTTTTTTTGCTTAGCTCCATGGCTCCACCATAATCATGGATAATCATCATGGATAATCCACATCCAATTAAAATCCCATGGTTTCGAAGATTATCCTTAGGATTTCTTAGGATTATCTAAAATCCATTGGATTATCTAAAAAACATGGATAATCCAATGGTTTCGAAGATAAGCAAAGTTCCTTAGGATTCCTTGGGCAGTGTTTTTTCGAGTCCGGCAGAGTCCACCGGCGCCATGCCCAGCCAAGTCTTTGTGTCCAGCCGACTTGTTTGGTCGGTCGCGGATTTGGCCCCGGCCTGCTGACAGTAGATTAGGTCAGTAACAGGTCGTATTCCAGCGATCCCAGTTGTCAATAGTCAAGCATCTGTACGTATCTGTACTAACGTCAAATACAGCCTTTGAAATTGCTGGAACCCCAGCTTAAAGGGCACATCGGACTGTATGAAAATGTCGCAATCCGTGGCAGTCGACAGCATCGCCAGGTCAATTCCCGATGCTTTGCGGCAATTTTTGTCTTCAGAATGCATGGAGCCTCAAGTGCTGCTGCCAGTCCCGCAGGCGAACTAGCTAACCAGCAGCAGTATGAGATACAGGCATGTGAAACAAAACACGGGAAATCTAGGAATGGGATGATGATACCAAACTGACTTTTTTCATGTCTACTTCAGGGGGTTGCTCACTAACCAGTAGAAACAAACTTCGGGCCTTCAAGAGGGATGCCCTCATCGTTGCGTTGCGTCCCTGGCTGGCTGAATTCATGTTCTCCCGATTCATACTGCATCCCCATATATATATGTGGTCTGATTGGTGGTTTCACACATTTTTTAATTTTCCATTTCATATATGGGATGTCATCCTTCCCATTGACGAACTCATATTTTTCAAGATGGTTATTGCACCACCAACCAGTGGTTAAAATTGGCATTTGACTCATATGTTTTTCAGTACCACCTTTATATCTTCGTGATTGTTGTGTTGATCCCCAATTGATCTCCGCTATAGTCAAAAAAAATGGGTAAATGACCCTTCAATGGAGCTCACCAATGCATATAGTAGGGGTTTAACCTATTTACATATTATTGAGTATTACATGAATTTAAGTTTGGGTCCAAAAAGCAACTTACAATATCCATATATATATATATATCATTATAAATATATATATATATATCATATATATATATACATATATATTAATATATATATATTTCATTATATTTACTATTATATTTGAATATAGGATCATTTCTTTTAATGTTCTTTCTACATATGTATATATATAATAATTAGATATATATCTAATATATGTAGATGAATGTAGGATAATCTGTTATTTTCTACATATATACGTATACATATATATGTGTGTGTACATACAACCATTATTTTGGATTCTTACTGTGACATGCTTCATTTTGGTCTCAGGCCGAGCCGAAGGTGCCAAAGAAGTGGCTCAGCAGAGTAGCTCGGAAAAAAAATCCGGCTGGAAACACCATGGTTGTTATGCCATAATTCTGATATAATATATTATATGTAATTATATAGGAAATGTTATGGGATATTTCATGATATTTCCATATATTTCCATATATATATACATACATCGGGAAACACCATGGTCCAACATATGTCCCTTTAAGGTTGTTGATATGCCATGTATTGTATATTTGACCTACCGGAATTATGGGAGTGGATGGAACGCCTTTTTTGGTGGATGCCTTTTACACAATGATGCCGGTATGGATCCAGCTACCTTCTCAGGTGTTTAAGTTATGGTTTTAGATCCAAAGGGCCGATTATCGCACTATGGAAACTCAACAGCATGGACACATATTTCGGGGAATTATATATTGATACATCGGTTGTTGCACCACAATATTGGGAATCATTATGGTTCTATAGATTACTTTTGCCCGCGCTGGAACGAGTTTTGCTGAGCGGGGAGGTTGCCAAAGCTACAATCATTTTGCGATGGACATGTTTTTCTTAACTACTTGTTGGAAAGAATTGCATCTTTCTGCATAACTTACAAACTGATGCCCCAATTTGTGGCTTTGTTGGTTTATAATCAGATATAAGTAATTAGTATTGGATTTATGGTAGTTACCATTGTAGTTTTCATGGGTTTAAACCAAGGAAAACATTTCACTGTGGCGCCGCCATGGACTTCACGCCACATTTGTACCACAGTGGAGGCTACCATATGTCACCTACAACCGTACCTATCTCATCCGGTTCAAGAAACAAGCATTGATCTCCATGGTAGCTACAACTTTTTCTTATAGACTGATAGGATTGACAACCTCCGTTGGGCCAGTTGGGGAACATTATTTCGAGAAGAAATGCATGTAGACATATAAATATTATTAATTGTATATGCCTAGAACCTCATTCCCCCCACTAAAAGGTTTTTGTTCCATTGTTTGGAGTACTTCGAGCCTCAAAGTATGTCAAAGTCTTACATACATCTATCATATACATTTAATGTTTTTATATATCTGGAAGTCCGTATCCGTGTCAATCTGCAAAGCCGACAGCCGCGGAAATTCGTTGTTGCGCCATTTACGAGGACGTCTTGACTCAGCGCAGGGAAAGGACTGCGCCGGGCAGAGCTGCGCAACGCAGTCCTGCTTTAGGATGCCAAATGTTTAAGATGTGGCAGAGTGAATTTGTGGGGCCATTTAGGCCATTTATAGTTGCTTTCGTGGTAGTTTACGGAGCCTTTTCCCCTACGTGATTTACGCGATATTTTTAAAGCCAATTTCTGGTGGGTGGTTTGGAACATTGTTTATTTTCCATAATGTATGGGATAATCCTTCCCAATTGACTAATATTTTTCAGAGGGGTAGGTCAACCACCAACCAGTAAATGACTTGTTGTTTTCCAGCGCCCTATTCGATTCCGCAACGCCGCTCTCAGGCGCTTGCGAACTGGATGAGCTCTACAGGCCACCCAACACGCCAACTCGAGGATGGGTTGTGATCCAGTAATAGTGACCAAATATGATGAAGTGTAGTACACTGATAATAGTGAAGATACAATAATAACATGAATATATGGTGACATTTGATATAAGAGTGATACATTTAATCATCATTGTTTTGCCAATAGATATGTAATTAAACAATCATAACCATACTGATAATAGTGGCATTAACAATATAAATGCAACACCGTCAATGTTACAATGTATGTATATGTATTCCCAACACTCTCATGAACCACCTTAAACTTGGTGTTTGATTAATCAATTTGTTTAATGGTGGTTGTCATTTGCTGGAGTTTTTTGAGAGTCAAGGTATGTGCATACAAGATAAGATATATATATATATATACATACATATAATTATGTTTATATACATAACTGAAGAACACATTATATAACTAGACAGTTTTGCTAATCGTATATTTTATGACATGTCCATTATTTCTTTATTAGCATATATATATATACATTTATACATAATATTACAATAATATACTAACATATCATTATAAGTGTATATATACACATATATAACATATATGTTACATAAGCGTTTGCATAGTTTATATATATATATTATTGCAATTGAATATATATATATACATTGTAGACTATAATTGCATAGTTGTTGCAATTGAATACATGTATTCATAAGATTGCATGAAAGACATATACAAATTGTATACCAACCAATTTTTTTATCAACCACCAAGTAGATAGCTTCGACGCAGGCTGGCAGACGAACATCTCAAGTTGACGCAGGTGCAGACGACCTGGTGGTTGAAGAGCTCCGGAGATTTCAGAAAAACAAGGGGTTGTAAAAACCAACATGGGAAATATGATGAACTATGATTATGAATTTGGATATGGATAATATCGGAATTTCAAGTATAACTTATAAATTATTTAAGTATATAAGTACTTGCTAGCAAAAAAATGTGGATTTCACTCACACATATGCAGCTCTAGGCAACACATGAAAGATTTTCGCAGCACGTATATACATTCTGGATCATTCTGGTAATTGGTAAGATGTGAGAAATCATCATGTTGTTGGATCTATGAATGTTTTCAATTGCTGCCCAGTTAAGGGACGCATTTTCATGTGAGTTGTATCCCCATTTCAGGATGCGGAAAAACAACGAGCCAACCTCCATATATGTGATGGTCAACGGTCACCCGCCCTATTCATGTGTGTACCCCAACAAAAACCCTTGATTGAGAATACGGTTCTTCACTAAAATGACAAGTTTCAGGTATATATATACCTTGATCCACAAGACCCTGCTAAAAAGCAGGTTCTGCTAAATAAACTGGTTTTTGATGGAAAAACCAGGTTTTTGCAAATCAGAGTATGTTGCCTTAACAAGCATGAGTCATCATACCGGATTCACATACTCTCCTTTCATCTTTTCTCTCTCAAGCATCTGCAGTGATGCGCATTGAGCGTCTAGCGCCCGAACCCCAGGAGTGAAACCGCTGACTCTGGCTTTTATTTGATAATTTGGGCATCTCTTAAATGGGCATAAGTGGCTAGCAGCGACCTTTGAATTGTTCTTTGACACGCTCGACGGCAGGATACCCTGCGACTAATCCTTGATGGCTTACCGATGTAGTCTTCCTCCATTTGGCACATCCAGATGAGCGGTGATATGCAAAACCCAGCTAACTTCACTTGGTCAACCATCAAAAAGAAAACTTCATGAAGTCGATGAAGATTGGGCATGAATGGAAAAAGCGGTCGTCCCATTTGAAAAGCCTGGTAGGCAATGCGTCCATTGAGCTTCAGGAACTTAAATCCATGAGCAGAGATTTCCAACGCTTTGGAACCATGAATCCAGATTCCTTCCTTGAAGAGCTTGGAAAAGAAGCTATCGATTTCAACAGCTGCGAGATAACACTTCTGAAGTATTTTCCCTCTAAGACTGTTCTCTCGCTCCTTGCAAAAGTCAATGATGAACTTCAAAAGGCAAGTAGTTGTGGATCCTTTTGACCAGGCACCACTGGGAAACTCAGTAGTTTGCATCCACTTGATTGTCTCCTGGCTAAGCCGTTTGATGTAGGGTCGCTGCTTTTTTTTTGGCACCAGTCAAAGAAAACGTCGTGCAACTGCTCAAACCTTTTCGGCACTGAACTTCCTTCCATCTCCTCAGAAACTAGCACGAGGCACGAGGAAACGAAGACTTTTCCAGCTCCCAAATGGAAACCATGAAACAAGTCCATCCCCATGATCGATGTTGGCATCTCTGGGTCATGAGGTAGTTGAAGAAATATTGGATCTCTGCCAAATGGTGGGCTGACCCCAACTGTACTTCTCCAATTGGGATTCGCCGACTCAAAGTCTTCCCAAGGGTATCCACTTTGGTCAGCCAAACAGTGCATGCATATACCTTTTGATGCCGTTTGACTGGAGGGCCGTTTTGCAACCGACCCAAATGTCCTTGTCAAATGAAAAGTCTTTTGGTGAAAGGGCCAGTCCCCTATCACCGAGATCACGGCGAGCCAAAATTTCTCACCTGTCGCTGACATGCACCCATTAGCAAGGATCTCATTCATGTCGTCCACAAGGGCTTCTGTCATCCTGTCATATGCATCCGTGTCACCTTTCTTTGCATCGTAGTAGCCTTTTGGTAATACTCCTAGAAGCCACCGTGTTGTCCATGTATTTCCAACTATGTTCACATCTTGCTTTGCAAAATCTGTTTTCAGCGTGGCTCTACGATTCTCCACCGCACACCCTTTCCCTAGGCATGAGTGTGCACTCAAGATCATTATAGCATTTTTTTTCTTTGACCTCCCTTCGTCTCCGTGAATAATGATCGCAGCAGTACGTTCCAAAACTATTGAGCCATTCCTAGCTAGATCAAAAACTTGGTGGTTTGGCATGATCCGCTCATACCTTGTCCAAAAAGTTCCCCACTGAGACTTGCAACGGTCATCATCCCGGGCATCCAGCCCACTGAGCGTGCGCCAAAGATTCAAGTTCAACAAGAACCTGAACCACGAACTCAAAAGCACTACTGGGATTTGAACTCCCTTTGAAATTTGGACATCAGTCAAAGGGACAGGAATTGTAAGTCCATATTCTTTTCCAATCTGATGGAAATCCCGTTCAGAGTTCTTGGTCGAACATTGTGCCAAGACATTGATACTAGTTTGAGCTGCAACCGGAACTTCTTCCACCACGGCCCGGGCTGCCCTGATTGTTGATGAACAAGGGGCCTCAGCCGGTCGCTGCTAGCCACTAAATTCCATGACTATATAGTATACATGGGGATCATAGGGGGGTAGCTGATTCAGTGCACATTGTAAATCAAACCTTCCAACTAGTCAGATCTGCAATTTGTAGTGACAGTTCGGACTGACTCTTTTGTCCCCTGTGTGTGCAAGAATCGACAGTCGAGCACGGCAAACTGATCTCTACATTTTTTTGGCTTTGGCAGTTTTGCCAAAAAGAACTTAATTGGTTTCCAGCTAGCATCTAAGGATACTAAACCAAAGGAAACATAAAATCAAAACAGGTGGATCAGGCTGGCTTGTGTTTGAAGCTCCTGTACACCATATATGTCACATACGCTGCAGAGGTGTCATGGCCAACGCTGTCACCACCTTTTCGAATGTTGCGGCACCCAGGTTGACCTTGGCTGGCTTGTTGGGTCTTGGGATTCATGTGAACACCAATGTTGAGAAAAGGGCATCCAGGTGCGGTTAAGTTGAATGATTGCATGCTGCTAGGGTACCATCATATCGATCTATGAGAGCTGCTTCCAACATAGCTGGGCTCCATGGCTCAGGTGACAGGTAAAGTACCACCATTCGTTCCCAACGATCCCTCTCATGTAAGTATCCATATCTCCGGTTCTCCCACCTGATCTTTGGATCGCGGCTGAATCCAAATTTAAAAATCATCGGGGCGAAGCTCTCAAAGAGGGTTTCTACAACTTGCACTGCATGCTTCAAAACCATCCCAGCGGTCGTAACTTTCAAGGGTAGCCAGACGGATATCTGGTCATGTTTTTCAAGTTCATCCAGCAGAGTATTGACAACAGGGTCATCCAAAGTCTCCCGAATGTGTAATTCCCAGGACACCCTTCGTGTCTTGTCACAGGAATTAGGATCAGGAGTCCTGGGCGTCACAGCAACGGTCCTTGATTGTTGCTGCGGAATTGACCATGGGAAAGGACCCTCTTCTACCTTAGCTGAGATCACCCCAAGAAAGTTTTTGAAATTCCCCACCTGCCAGGTGAGGGTTGTTAGATTTTATCGGAGCTGTTCTTCCGCCTCCTCCTCCTCCTCCTCTTCTTCCTCCTCCTCCAGTTTCTCCTCGACCATGTCTGCATCCACTCCCATGTTCACTTCCGCCTTGCCAACTCTTCGCCAACTTCCGCGCGCAGTGGGCACTGCTGGACCTCAACTGCCGGCGTGCGATCGGAGTGGGCACCGCTGGACCTCAACCTGGGACCTTCCGAGCTCAGTGAGGACCTCTGAACCTCAACCTGGGACCTTCCCAGCTCAGTGAGCACCGCTGGACCTCAACCTGGGACCTTCCGAGCTCAGTGAGCACCGCTGGACCTCAACCTGGGACCTTCCGAGCTCAGTGAGCACTGCTGGACCTCAACCTGGGACCTTCCGAGCTCAGTGAGCACCGCTGGACCTCAACGGCCAGATAGAATGCCAGAAGATATGCCAGATAGAACGCCAGATAGAATTTCAGATAGAATGCCAGAAGATATGCCAGATAGAATGCCAGAAGATATGCCAGATAAATGCCAGAAGATATGCCAGATAGAATGCCAGAAGGTATGCCAGATAGAATGTCAGATAGAATGCCAGAAGGTATGCCAGATAAAGTGCCAGAATGTTTGCCAGATAGAACGCTAGAAGATTTGCCAGATAGAATGCCAGATAGAATGTCAGAGGATATGCCAGATAGTGCCAGAAGATATGCCAGAACATATGCCAGGTAGAATGCCAGAAGATATGCCAGATAGAATGCCAGAAGATATGCCAGATAAATGCCAGAAGATATGCCAGATAGAATGCCAGAAGCTATGCCAGATAGAATGTCAGATAGAATGCCAGAAGGTATGTCAGATAAAGTGTCAAAATGTTTGCCAGATAGAATGCCAGAAGATTTGCCAGATAGAATGCCAGATATGCCAGAAGATATGCCAGATAGAATTCCAGAAGGTATGCCAGATAGAATGTCAGATAGAATGCCAGAAGGTATGCCAGGTAGAATGCCAGAAGATATGCCAGATCGAATACCAGAAGATATGTCAGATAGAATGCCAGAAGATTTGCCAGTAACAAAAGGTATAAATGTCTTGGTGGTGATAACTCGAAGTAAAGTAATTGATATTAATGTTCTTAAAGGGCACTATATCAACTACCTAGTCGGTATGTTGACACTAGCCTCCACGATTTCAATTCAGATAAGTTTCAGAACGGTGTGAAGTGAATAAATCTAGTAGTTCTTCCTCTGCGCTTTCCATTGCAAAAACCATGCGATGGCATGGATTGCTGGATCACAAATTGAGCCAAAAGGATCTAAACGGTTGATAGTGGATTCTAAGGTGTAGCAACTTGAGTTTCTTCCACCCATCCAGTACTCTAAGATTCAGTGCCCTGGGTGCCCTGTTTCATGAATGAGGTCCCCACACCATCGGAAACATCTCGAAACCAGCGTCGCAAGCTTGGACCAGAACCTGGCATGGAGCAGGGATTGATGCATGAATGTTTAAAGTCCTCTTAAGTCTAACCTTAAACCCAAGTTTTTTCCAAAGGATTTTCTGCCAACGTGTTCGATGTCAAGTAAGCGAAACTGTTGTTTTTTTTTTCTGTGGGGCGGCAAAACTCACATGATGTCAGTTGCATCTAGTCTAGCGTTCACAGATCATGAACCCATCACGGTCAAGAATGGGAAAGCTACATCCCAAAATTGATAGCATCCCCATGACCTATGGCAAACATGTCAAAAGCTGATTGCGGTGACGACACGTCCTCCGCCCACATCCGAAAACAACAGGTTTTGAACCTGTCATCATGACACGGTACTTTGCAAGTCAAAATGACCAGTGCATTTCATTTCTTAGACTTCTTAGCCTTCTTAGCAGGCTTAGAGCCCTTTGGCACATCAGCTGCCTTACGCTTAGGCTCAGGATGCGGCTCCCCAGTCTCTAGGTTAGTTTCAGGCTTGGTCTTCTGGAAGAACTTCTTGCCGCTCCTGTAGTGAAAGTTGAAAATAAATGTGGTGACCCATCAAGCTGTTTGATCGAGACCCCCTGAGGTTGAAACCGAGCTTTGAGCTCAGCAGCCAATGCACGCGAAGACCTGAGAACACTTGGACAGATTTCACGGCACAACATATGGGATCATATGAAGTGACCTAATTTTGTAGAGGGCGAACTGAGCTTGTTCACAACACATGGGGTAATTTTGTTTGCACTTTTCTTTCATCAAAGCCGATCTGGGAATAGAACACCACGCTTCTTTCCTTCATCTTCTTCTCAGCTTGGGCCCACCACCTCAATTAAGGCACATAAAGCTTTTAAGCTCATGAAGGTTGTTGGGTCAGAACTGGGGGCAGAACGTTTTCGATGCCTTTTCATCAAGATGTTCACCGACTGCCCAATGCTCGTTGAGCATCTCATACTGGGCATCCATGTTTCCCAGGTTGTCCTCCAAGCTCTTGATGGGCCTGGGATGGTGAAGTCCAAACATGGGCTATGTATGCTCTGGGCTCAAAGTGTGAACTGCATGCAATTGAGTTGCACTGTTGGATCATCAGAATAGTTGGTCTTCAAATCCCGAATGAGGGTTCTGAGTTTGTTCATCTTACTCAGAAGGCTGTCAATGAAGCGCTTCAAGACAGCTCGTTGCTGCACAGGGGCCGGACAACATGTTTTGATGGAGTTCTGAAACTCTTGTGAAGAAGAAACCAAACGCAATCATTTTCAACATTAAGTTGATGGATCTATATATATATATATATGCAGCCACTGAAGTGTATAAAGAATGCAGTTGGAAAGTAACCCAATAGCCTCCACTTCAGCTGCAACCCTGTCGGGACCTTTTGCTTCAGCTGAAGCATCGTCTCGACGCTTCTGATCCTCCAACTTCTGGAAGCCTGCCTGGTCCATCTTCGGCATGGCAGAATCATCCACCTGCGTGGCAAATGTGACATGTTGGACTGTGAGGTCTGGTTTCCTGGGTGTCCTGCCTTCTTCTTCTGGCGATGGATTTCTTCCTGCGTCAGGCTCTCAGTGTGTTCTGCAGCCTCTTTGACAATGACCCAGTACTCCAGCACCCCATCATAGCGGTTGCTCCTGCCCAGATGGAGCATTGGATTTCTTTATCAAAATGCAGGATTTTGCAAAATAATTGAAGGTTTAAGATTGCATGGCCCAAGGGAAACCTCGCCTGATATGTGTATCAGGTGACTGCTCGCACACCTTCTTGACACCAGCAATTCGTCCCCTCAGTTAACAATGATTTACAGCTTGGTGCTAGTAATCACTGATGCTGGTTAACGCTTGATATTCAACATGTTCAGGTTTGATTTCAGAAAAATTGAGTTTATGACGGTGTCCATTTCAGCTCCATTCGAAGCTCGCTCTCTGAGAACCAGCCTTCGTTGCGAGTGATCTTCACCTTCAGCTTTTTCTTGATCACTAGCTCCAACTGTGTCAAGAAAAGGTCCTGAGAAAAGTTACCAGTGTGAATGATCCCCCACAAACATTGCTGTACCCAGTACTTTTAAAACTAACTAATCAAGTGGTCATGCAATGGTCCTTGCACCAATTGGTGTCCATCAAAAGCTGTGCCATTTCGTTCTTCTCCTCTGTTCCCTTGTCCCACTGCTCTTTCACCATGGCCGGTACCTGAAGGTCTGACCTTTTTTTCTTCGGGGCTATCATGCGCCTGATGCGCATCTTGGCTGCGTTCTGCAACAGTTCCTGAAGTAACCAGGGCTGTTGGGTGGCAATGTTGGTATAAAGAAGTGCTTGATGAGTTTAAAATGGGAACAACTTGATTGGGTTGATTGACTATTGTTGGTCGATGTGAATGGATTGATGTCTAGGCACCCTTCTGCTCAGGGGTCGCCGGGCTTTCTTCTTCTTCTGGTTCAAACCAGCACTGCGAGTATCCATGTCGGTACCGGGTTCCACCTGACAAGTAACTTGTTGGCTGGGGTGATGCCAAAGACAGGATTACCTTCAAATATCTTCCATTTACATGCCAGAACAGAAATTGTTTAAACACAATTGAGGTCTTTGATGGCTTATGTATGCTTCTCAATCTATGGGCCTCCTTTTCCGGGCAAGTGCCAGCTTCAGTTTCAGCTTTGCCAGGAAGAACTGGTTCAGGGGCAGGCTTCTGAGGTGCCTCAGAAAGCAAAACCACTATTGGTTTTCAGTTTTCCATGTTGTTTAATTCAACTAGTAACAAGGTTTCATCCCAGTGCAGGCTGGTAACTTCTGCAACATTGTCAGTCTCCAAGATCCCCGGCTGTGTTTCACTGTTTGCCTAGGCATGGGAACGAGATCAAATGGGCCGCGCTTTGGTGGCTAACTGCTGGATTCCTCAGCTGATGGCAATCTCGTCATCACGGGCTTGGGCAGCTGCACGTGCTTCCAATTCCTGCATGAAGTTGGCTGTAGGAACCCCCTGGGAAAACCATGTGTTATTCTTCAATTCTTTCTTTTTGATGCTTGTTGGTTTGGAATCTCTGGGATAAGACCACGGTCCTTAATTTCTTCCATGATTAACTTCTCTTGCTCGGCTAGGGCCTGTTCCTCTTCTGTCAGCACGGCATTGTAGCCATCTTTCAAGGTTTCACAACTCCAGCCCGCTGCCGAAGAAGACATGTTCAGGCGTCTACAAAACCTAACTACTTCGCTAGATTCTCAACCTTGAGACTTGCAAACCTAGTCAATCAAGAATGCAATAGAGATCTCAATATTCCTTAGGTTTGCACATCGATCATGCTGGAAAATTCAGCTAGCAATACGTAGCCAGTGCATGGGCAAAGTGTTTTCTTTTCAAGTTTGGTACATGTCCGATCTCCACTATCGAATTTCAGCTGTGAAAACAGCGATCGAGATGCAGAAATTCTTGCCATCTTCTGAATTTTGGCACTCAAAATGGAGGTTGCCAGGTACCCCAAAAAACCAGGTTTTCCATTACGGGTTTTTACGGGGTTCGCACGGGAAATTATGGTGTTCGCACGGGTTACGCACGGGTTCACCAAAACCAGTTTTTTTGGAATTTACGGGTTTTGTTCGGGTTTTGGTCGGGTTTTTACGGGTTTTGTTCGGGTTTTTACGGTGTTCGCACGGGTTTTGCACGGGTTTTGCACGGGTTGCGCCATTCCACCACCACAATTCCAGTTGAAATCTGGAAAAGACTTGAAAAAAGTGATTCAGGATTCAAAACTCCAAACATTCCATTTTGGGGAGTCCGGCAATCATCTCCAAAAGTAAAGCATCTAAATAGATTTTGGCACATGGTGGGCCCAACCTTCGGGAATTCTCAGACTGTGCCCTTTTCTCAAATATCGAAAAGCTGACTCTAGGTCAGCAAATTCAAACAAGTCGGACCCTTTCCCCGAATTTAAATCTTGAAAGGATTCCAAGGCAGGTGGCACTGGATCTGGAACCTCAGGGGTCCCACGCTGCGCAGCTTTCAGGTCATCGATCAAGACCGAAATGGTGGAGGCAAAGTAGTCCGGGTAGATCCTGGGCGGTCAGGGAGATAAGCCCAACTGCAGTTTAAATAAGTGGATGGCATCGATGGTCAGGGTAGAGTTGAAACAACACACGGTGAGCCATTAAGACAATTCTAGGATGTGAGCGTCTCAATTCTTGATTCCAATAGGCTAGCTTGGCTACAATCAAAATGAAAATAATCTTAATTCATTCAAGGTTCTCTGTGTCTTTCAGATGTTTAGTCCCCACATAGCAGTCTTTACCGTCTCGGTTCTTGTACGTCCTACACGTCTCGACCTTTGTATGAACCTTCTTGACCTTGTTGGCTGTTGGGCGAAAATGGTATAACTTCCGGATGGCTGGTGAATTGCTGTATGCATACTGCGGCTTGGCTGTCTCTCCACCAAAAGCACCCATCGACCAGTGCACACGGGATACCTTGGCCGAGTTCCATACAGTTGTAAAACCGGTATGTAACAATTTCAGGGGTGGATGGTGGATCATATTTCTCAACATCATCAGTGGGTGGATGCATGCAACTGAGTTCTGTGCTGCATCAATGCCATGAATATCAATGAGTCGTCCCAAAGCCCATCGAAAGGTAGGGTAGAACTCAAGAATGGAACCACCCGGCTGTTCTAATACAAATACTCCACCAAGAGCCACAGTGAGGATTAGAAGGAGTGAAATCCTGCAGATAGGTGGGTTAGCTTGACATCGCTCATCCATCAAAACTGCAAGCCACAGGTTTCTTGAAGTCATGGTGAAATATATATAAATATCATATCGATCGATAAAACAGTCTACACACTACTAGTTGTCAACCTCAGTTCAGAATCACCCCGGGTCCTTTCAAGCATCTTATTGGCCTCGCCAACAGAGGCCATGAGCAGATCCCCGGTGCTGCAGCAAGCTGCCCTGGAGGAGGTCCCAACATTCATTTGGGTCCAGCTGGAACACTTGATGCCAAACCAAGATAGGAAGTCGTGGGCCCGACCCTTTAGCAGGAAGATGATGCATAACCTTGGTTGAATTATAAGTTGAAAGACATCCGAGTTTGACAATTCTCACTCATAAGTTCCAACCCAACAGGAAATATAAAAGCTCAAAAAAAATGTAAAGGTGTAATTGCTATCAGGCTGCACGAACCCACTTGGGCTATTAACATCCATGTAGTTACTCTTCCGAGGAGGCACCCTGTTGTTTGAGTTGTATTTCAAATCAAATTTGCATCCCTTGAATCCCTGCAAGCGAGCGAAGCCAAGCCGCATGGCCAGCGAAGAACTCCAACCAATCGTAGGCCTGCACGGTGCTGTTACGCTGGCAGTGCCGGGTTTGAGATAGGAACCAGTTTCTCAAGGAATGTTCGATATGAAATCCATTGAATTGAATTCATCTAGCTCTATCTCACAAAGCGGTCCTCATCAATGTTGTAGAGACCTTCAGTCCAAATCACCAGCAGTACAATGAGAACGAACTCCTTGGCCGTTTAACAGAATGGGATTCACTTTGAATTCATGCTCGGGGTAAACCCAAACCTTTTCGCTTGCTTGATGTTACTTTTCAGAAGTCCAAGTGTCCCGGGGTGCACGAAGCTTTTGGAGCTTGAAGACCAAAGAATTGATGTCGACCATGGGTGGAAAATCCCTTCCGGATTACAACCAAGTTTTTTTTGAGCCAGCTATAGCCACATGCTCGGGTGGTGGTTTGAAAAGCCAACAAGACATCGATCTATTCATGGTACATTCTCTTAAGTCACATTTCGAAAAGGGATCAATCGATTGAAATCATGCCAGGACTGCTCTTCTTGTTTCTCTGGCGCACCCGACGAGCATGCGAAATTGCTGGGCGAAGACCACGCCTAGGCGCCATGCTGGTCTGACCTGGGTGCCGGGAGGAGGAGCAAACCACCACCATACAAATTCTGCCACGGGATGGCTGCAAACAACTTGACATCACTGGAATTTATTTTTTGACCCGCGTTTCACTGGCTTCATGATCAGATTGAGAAGCGGTGTTAGAGAACTCAGCTAAGTAGCTCACAGGGCAGCCATGGCCCCATGAATGATGGCCACATGTTCATGCCCGGTCCGCTGCAACAGAAATGGTAATGAACATCATTTGAAACAATGTTGGCATCATGACAAGACTGAACCAAAACTACAGTTTGGGTATCATGCTTTCACTGGACCAGGCCAACTTTCTACGTCGATACGTAGCGTTTCAAGAAAGCTATGGCAGAATCCCATGGCAGGAAGCAGGTTTCAAGTTGTGACCCAAAGATGGCTTGATCAGCCATCTGCTCCCAAACAACTCTCCCGCCTAACCTGGGAGACTCACCAAGTAAGCCCTAGGCCCTCACACCATGTTCTGGTGCAGAACCGCAGCACCAGCCATCTGGTAGGCCTGCTTCCACTCCTCCAGCGACTTCTCAAAAGCTGCAACGTCAGGAGCATCCGACTCGTCCATGTAGTATGCCTGGGCAGGTGAAAATTAACACAAGATTACTGGGAGGTCGATGTTTCAACTGGGACACTACTAAGACTTCTAAATTTATTTATTTTCACATCAGGCACTTAATGAAAATATTAGTAGTTATCTTAACTTATCATAGAAGTCATTTTTACTTATTTTCACTTATTTTCACTTAATTTAGGTTAATTTTTCATTATTTTTTACTGTTTAAAATTGATAAAAGACGAAAGATGTTTCTGTCATAGGGTTTTGTAAAACATCTTTGAATTAAAAAAATATAAGAATGTTGCGTTTTCTTTTTTTGTTTGGATATTTTCATGGTTCCGATGCAAGATCTTCCTTGTCCTGTTAAATGTATCTTTTACAGGAAGTTTCCTTTTCAGGCATCATCTCTTTTCAGGAACTATCCTTTTCAGGAATTATTCTTTTCAGAATGAATCCTTTTCAGGAGTTATCCTTATCAGGAATTTTTCAATTCAGATTGAATCCTTTTTCAGGAATTTTCCTTTCCAGGAATTATCCTTTACAGGAAATGTCTTTTCGAAGACCTTTTTCCATTCAGATAATATTTGGTCACTTTTCCTTGTTTTGTCACAAGCTGGAAATTACTCACTTTCTTACTTTCTATAGTTTTAAAACTTTATCTTTATTGAAAATGTTATAAAAATGTTCATATTTTACTATTTTTCTAAATTTATATTTTTATATACATTTTGGTCATTGATTTTCATATTTTTCACGTTTTCATAATTTTCTAAAAATTATCTGCATTTTCGGAATGTTCTATTTTTTTGGAACTTTCTAAATTTTCTAAATTTTATATATCTATGTATATATATATATATATTTCTGAATATTGCGATTTTTTTCGAATTATCTAAATTTCCTAAATTCTCTGGATTTTCTGAAATTTTTGAATTTTCTGATTTTCAGAATTTTCATATTTTTTTTGTTTTTTTTAATTGTCTGAATTTTCTGAATTTCTGAATTTTCTGAATTTTCTGAATTTTCTGAATTTTCTGAATTTTCTGAATTTTCTGAATTTTCTGAATTTCCTGAATTTTCTGAATTTTCTGAATTTTCAAATTTTCTGAATTTTCAGAATTTTCAGAATTTTCAGAATTTTCAGAATTTTCTGAATTTTCTGAATTTCCTGAAATTTCTGAATTTTCTGAATTTTCTGAATTTTCTGAATTTCCTGAATTTCCTGAATTTCCTGAATTTTCTGAATTTTCTGAATTTTCTGGGTTTCTGAATTTTCTGAATTGTTTTCCTTTTAATTTAAATTGTAAAGTCTGAATTTTCTGAATTTTCCGGGTTTCTGAATTTTCTGAATTTTCTGACTTTTCTGAATTTTCTGGGTTTCTGAATTTTGTGAATTTTCTGCGTTTTCTGAATTTTCTGAAATTTCTGAATTTTCTGAATTTTCTGTTTTTTTCTAAATTTTCTGAATTTTCTGAATCTTCTGAATTTTAGATTTTTTTAATTTTCTGACTCTTCTGAATTTTTAAAATTTTCTAAATTTTCTGATTTTTTTGTTTTTCCGACTTTTCAACATTTTCAATATTTTCTTCATTTTCTACATTTTCTCATTTTCAAAATTTTCTGACGTATATACATTAAAAATAATAAATTTGTTACCTTCTGTATGTTTAAGCATTATAAATTTTCTCAGTAAGTTACTTTTCTCCATTTATTTCTATTACAATCTTTTTTTGAGTGGTGTGTATTGTTTCTCAGATTTCTTATTACTCTGAATGTCTCAAACTTAATTTATATATATATATTTGCAATATTTTTATATTTTATAATATTTTTTCTGCATAGTTTCAACTGAGTTGATCTGAAATTTTCTATTAGAATATATCGTAATGTTTGAGAAATTTAAAGAATTTGACTGTCAACAACTTCAAATGCGAATCCCTGGAAAACGTAAAGCTCAAGAAGCTACATTTTTTTTCTGGTGAAATATCATACTGAGTTTTTTTTATTTGTGAAAGAACTGCTTTTCATGAACATTATACTGCTCATATTTTTGCCTGCCCAGGAAGTATACATTACAGGAGGTCATCTTTTCAGAGAAAAAAGGGATACTAACTTTCCAGGAACTACTCCTTACAGGAAACATTATATATTCCAGATAATTTTTTCGTTATAAAAATTCCAATGCCCTTCCCTTTGAAGCCAAAATTGCTCCGTGGTAATCGACATCCATGTCCATCAATGTTGAAAACTGACAAAAAACATATTTTTACTTATTTTCGCTTCTTTTCCCTTATTTCAACTTATTTTTGAATAATATTCCACTATATTTACTTATATGTTCATTATTATGTTACAAGTTCACCTAAACGATTAGTGGAACTTAAAACAAAAAAAATAAAAATAAACAATTTAAACAAGATATTAGCAAGATAATAGCAACTTATAATATACTTATAACTTCATTAAGTGCCTGATGTGAAAATAAATAAATTTAGAAGTCTTAGTAGTATATGAGCCATTGGGCCCATAGTCATTATACCACTAAATTCAACATCACCAACGAATGAATGAAGCTCATAGTATTCACAAGTGTTTTTCCAATCTATTTCATGGTAAGAAATGTTCCACGGACCATGCATGCGCTTTGCTGTCCAGATTCTCTCAATCCATGGTAGCACTTATAATGCGCATGTTTGAAACCCTAGCTTTCATAATTGCTTTGGGTAATCTATGTGAGCACCCACCAAGTGCAGCTAAATTACCAAATGCTCAGCACACGCAATAGCAACTGCGCAAGCTCGAAGGGTCTTCTCAAAGAAGCTGAAGTTGGCCACATCGCCTTCCTTTTCACCATTTTTTCGCATGGTCAAGCCGCATTTGAAGGTAGTCCAGTAGATGTTGAGCCGGAAGAAGTCAAACCTGAGACGGGCTTCTTTGACACATGCCTTCAAAGTGGCCAAGTCTTTGTAGTCGATGTTGTCATTGACCCACGAAGCAATCTCAGCTTGCAAGTCTGGGTGAGCCTCCACATCTACCTCAGACACCTTGATTGACCTGGCTCTCGGCTTCTTGTCTGTCTCTCCTGTCTTCTCAGTCTTTTTCGCATGCTTCTTTTTCTCAGGCTTCTGGCTTTCCTTCGGCTCCTTCTGATTCTTCTGACTCTTCTGGCTCTTCTTCTTCTCCGGCTTCTTGTCTGCACTCTTGGACTTTTTCACTGCTTTTGACTTGGGCGATGGCTTGCTCTTTGCCTTTGCGCTGGCCTTTGGCTGGTCAGGCATGCCACCCTCGCCATCCAAAGCAGTTGAAGCCTTTCTTCTTTTGCTCTGGTTCTGGTCTTCTCCATTGGTCTTGTCATCTTTCTTCTCCGAAGTTTTGGCCGATCTTTTTCTCTTGTCAGCTTTCTTCTCTTCTCCGGTCTGATTGTTCTTCTGTTTCTTGGTCTTTGCATTCTCCTCTTTCTTCCCAGCACGAAGGGAAAGTTGATCTCGGCGAGTGAAGACCTCATGGACGCAGATATGCACTGATGGCTATCAAGAATCAATGAAAATTTGTGATAAATATCAGCTACCGAAAATTTCCAACTCTGATGATATAGTTCCCATTGGGGTCATGACCCAACTATATAAATAAAAGGCCAAATTCCTGAAGCATGTCTGGAGGACCTTCGGTGGTCCAGCCACTTCAGGCTCGGCATCCGAGGAGGTGTGATCTGGAACTTCGGCTTCATCCCCTTTAGTATCACTGGGAACATGACTGGTAGAATCTTCTTGTGGAACCTCTGATTGAGCATCAATTTCCACCCGTTGTTGGTATTTGGCACGTTTCGTCCCTGGGCTGTCTGACCGCAAGGCCGCATCATCCCATGTGGCACCTTTGGCTGAAGGAGGAGAAACAGGAGGCGCAGCAGCTGCAGCCACAGCTGCCTCAAGGTCCTGTGTCCCCATTGGCATGGTATCGTGCTCATCAGTGGCTCCACCCAAGATAGGATCCGATTGGCCTGTGCTGCTGAGCTGGAAGGAACGCCCTAGTTCATAAGCTTTCTTCAATGGAATCGGTTTGAGGATTTTGGTAGGAGTGATTGTTTTTGGGATGGCATGGCTACAGGTTCCCTTTACTGCATGCACATACACATCAGTGCTGGTATTGCTTTCTTTCAAAGAATTGAGGCGTTCATAGATTCTGCACCTTAACTATCTTCATCCCAGTGTGATCTGGTTGAGATGTTGGCTTGGATACATTTCTACTATGATAAAGTTTAAGAAATCACGATGTAAAAAATTTGAAACGATGATCACACCTTTTAATGAAATCATTGTTGAAACCCAAGTCAGAGCAGCAAATGCCTCGTCCCAGAGCACGCGTCACTCCAGTATCAGCGCTAGGTGGCGCTGACTTCGAAGCCAATGCTGCTGCCAATTGTTGCCGCTTCTGCTGGATCCTGGGTCAATGAGGCGCCAAGATGTTTGCTGTCACTTTTCTATGGGGGAATATGGGGGAACCTATGGGAAAATAATGTAATCTGATCCCATCCAATCCCCAGGCTTTTCCATGTCCAACTAGCTAGTGCGTAGACCATTCAAAATGAGAAATTACAACGGGTGAAAAGTTTGTAAACCAATTGCGAGATTCTCCCGAAGCTTGGCCTGCCTGAACTCCAAAGCAGTCCAGACAGTTTCCTTCGAGCCAAGGGAGCCAACTCCTTGGCTAACGGTGCATGTCAATTGGCCATGGCAAGCCATGTTCAATCTGGATTGTCGTCATCTATAAGTGATCTTCAGTGAATCCCAAAATTTGCACTATGATTATGAAAGAGTGGCAAGAATAGCACCCTACGAAAACCTTATCTTGAAATCGATGCAATGATCCGGGCAAGGCAGAACCATCAGATGATTTCGGATCAGCATCGTCAGGAGCAGGAGACACATGGGCTTTCTGCTGGGGGGTAGCCACGCCAACCGGTGCAGGAGGGACTGTAACCGATGGTAGCTGTTCTTGAGTAGGAATTGGGCCTGGAGCCTCATCATCCTCCAAGGGGAAGCAACCCTACATTGGTGTTTTTGGGGAAATTGTTCAGAAAACTAAATGTGACTAATGAAGGTGTTGATTCCCCACCTGCCAGGTGAGGGTTGTTGGATTTAAACAGAGCTGTTCTCGGCCTCCTTCTCCTACTCCTTCTCCTCCGCCTCCTCCTCTTCCTCCTCCAGTTCCTCGACCATGTCTGCATCCACTCCCATGTTCACTTCCGCCTTGCCAACTCTTCGCCAACTTCCGCGCGCGGTGGGCACTGCTGGACCTCAACTGCCGGCGTGCGATCGGAGTGGGCACCGCTGGACCTCAACCTGGGACCTTCCGAGCTCAGTGAGCACCTCTGGACCTCAACCTGGGACCTTCCCAGCTCAGTGAGCACCGCTGGACCTCAACCTGGGACCTTCCGAGCTAGTGAGCACCGCTGGACCTCAACCTGGGACCTTCCGAGCTCAGTGAGCACCGCTGGACCTCAACCTGGGACCTTCCGAGCTCAGTGAGCACCGCTGGACCTCAACGGCCAGATAGAATGCCAGAAGATATGCCAGATAGAACGCCAGATAGAATGTCAGATAGAATGCCAGAAGATTTGCCAAATATAGAATGCCAGATAGGATGTCAGAAGATATATCAGAAGATATGCCGGATAGAATGCCAGATAGAATGCCAGAAGATTTGCCAGATAGAATGCCAGAAGATATACCAGATAGAGTGCCAGAAGATATGCCAGAACACAGGAATCTATCTATCTATGTATCTATCTTTCTATCTATCTGGGGGTTAACCACCACCCCCAAGGACCAGGCACCTCCCGCTGGGGGGTTAACCACCACCCCCAAGGACCAGGGCTCCTCCCGCCAGGGGGTTGACCACCACCCCCAAGGACAACCTGAGCGGAGCAGTCGCTGATCGGGATGCCAGAAGGTATGCCAGATAGAATGCCAGAAGATATGCCAGATAAAATGCCAGAAGATATGCCAGATAGAATGCCAGAAGGTCTGCCAAATAAAGTGCCAGAATGTTTGCCACATAGAATGCCAGAAGATTTGCCAGATAGGATGTCAGAAGATATGCCAGAAGATATGCCAGAAAGTATGCCAGAACATACGCCAGAAGATATGCCAGGTAGAATGCCAGAAGATATGCCAGATCGAATACCAGAAGATATGCCAGATAGAATGCCAGAATATTTGCCAGTAACAAAACGTATAAATGTCATGGTGGGAATAACTCGAAGTAATTTGATCTATATTTTAAACCCAGTCCTTGCCCCCAGCATCCTCATCTTCACTGTCAGATTCCAGGGCGTTCTTGCGTTTCTCATTGACTGCGTTCACAACATCCTTCCGCGAGAAGCAGGGTACATATATAAGCCAGCATATCATGTCCAAAGGGTGGCTATTATTAATAAGTTCCTCATAATTATTTTTATTGCCTCCAAACATCAGGTGGTGACCCTAGATTAGAACATAGTATCTTACAATCTTTATAGTTCCTTCATGGCTGGGGCTTGGCAAATTATGCAAATTGAGTTCACAATAATCACCTTAGACCCCACCTGGCCTCAAGCGCTGGGTTGACAATCAAGCAAAGGGATTGAAAGGTAGGATCCTTGGCGCGAGAACATCAACTCCTAGAAACAGTGTTGAACATGTAGCTATATGTTAAAAAAGGGTGCCATAGAGCTATATAGCAGGGATATTGTCTTGACGAAATGATTATACATGTTGAAAACATGAAAATGTACAGTACATACGATGTAGGCCAAAAGTCCTGGCTCACCTCTTCTCTTTGGACTTTGCGTTTGATAAACGAAACCATGTCCCGAACTCCCCATGCAGCATCGTCAACATCTGCAGCAGTGACAGAGCGACTGTGCATCTTGTACGCTGCAGCGCATGCATCTCGTAACGGGTCAATTTCAGCAATGCGACAACCTTCTCCAATCTGATTCAGAATGGGGATCAAAAGATCCATGTTGACAACGCACTTGGGGATCTTCACATCGGTCCCTTTATCCACATTAACCAAGGGCAAACCAGCACGAATGCGTGCTCGAATGCTCTCAGTATCATCCCAAATTTTGGGGAGGATTTCACAATCCACATATTGGGATGACATGGCTGCCACCCTAAAAGAAACCGGTCCAGCAGCTTTGGCCAAATGGCTGCACACCCGACATCACCCGAAAAATATACAAGGTACATATGGAATCCACAGCTATCATTCACTCTTGGTTTCTGGAAAATGATTCACAATCCTGCCAGGATCTGGGTTGCCAGACATCTTCCAAAGACGCCGCAAAAAGGGGCGCTCTTGAAGCCACACGGGCCCAGCGCTGGGCAAGCCGGGGATTTGCCCATCCCCCATAGATTCAGAGTATTTCCCATGTTGATGGTATGGAATTATGGATTTTAGGGGTTTCAAAGAATAACCCGGTTTTTTAATAGAATAACCAGTTATTGTCGCATCTCCCCATAAACCTAGGTTATCAGACCTCAACCCGCTTTTTTCTGGTGTTTGGAAGCTGAAGGTATATACACACATATATATATATATATGAGAAATTTCAGGACAACCCCAAATATCATTTTCTTGGTGATGCCCATTATATCCCATAGTTCTACATATCCTCATTGGTTGGAGGCTTCCTAAGTTAGCTGGGCTACCCCGAGTTCTCATCCATTTTTTCATAGTATTTTCCCTGAAATAAACCATTCATTTTGGGTACAGCCATTGGAATCCTCCCATGGTTGGATAATTTTTCGTCCCCAGGAACCTGTGAAGATGCACGAGCTACTGGCAACAGCGGAGGTTGTGGAGCGTCGGGAGGCGAATGTGAAGAAATCCGGTGGTTTTTGGGGCTGGCACCTGGATCAAATGGGGATATCCCAATAGCTGGATGGTTTATTTCATGGAGAATCCTACTAAAATGGATGATATGATGCCAATATACCCTCTGGTAAACATACAAAAATCTATATAAATTCACCAAGTTCAATGGGTAAATCAACGATTTCTATGGCCATTTTCCAGTGCGCTATGCAACAAATTACCAGAGGGTACCTATCAACTGGGGGATTGAACCAGGACTGATAAATGGTGTAAACAAATGGTAGGGATTGTGACTCCTTGCTGGTAAGAACCCATTCCTTGCTGGGTCAAAAGCTGAGTTCACCAGTAAGGACAAAAAGCTGGAACGTGGTGTGCTTCGTCGCAGTCGAGTTCACCATGGGATGTTTCAGCAACAAAACTGGGACTGGACCAGCTAAAATGTGATGAAGAAATGAGTTCGTCTCAAATTGATGGGACGTATCCTCAACATCTTATAGATTCTGGTTGGTGCTTTGGAACATGAATTTTATTTTTCCATATATTGGGAACAAAAACCCCAACTGACGAGCATATTTTTCAGAGGGGTGGGTATACCACCAACCAGGATTTGTCCTATCCAATGGGGAGAGGAACAGCGGTTGAACATGAACATCATCATGGGGGTTTGGAGTATCCAAGTTGACATTGACGGGATGATATGCAGCATCCATCATCCATCGTTAACACATTGTTGCTAAGATCCGATGTAGCTCAGGCCTTGGGTGTTTTTGTGCAGATGTCATGGTTTTCTCCCAATAACAACACCCCAAAAACCTGGTGGAAAGTCGTTGTTTTAAATGTGGGGAAAAGTCAAGAATCAAGACCATGATGACCATGACAGCCAATAGATATCAATAGATGGACTATATATATATAGCCTTTGTTTTGGATCGTAAAGCTACTTCGAAAACATTGGTAGCCAATCCCTCTCGATTGTTGGCAATGCTTGTCGTCAGGATTTTTGATGTGTGGTGGTTGAAATCCGTTATGTTTGCTCGTTAAAATCCACGAGTTCTTGTTGTTGAATCCATGTTTTTTTTAAAAAAAAAACACCAGGATAAAACAATATTTGATCGCTTAAACCCCATGTGCAGTTTTAGAATTGTGTGGCAGTACAAATCATAATTGTGTACCATTTTCCATTTTGTGTTGGCGAAACCTTCGTTTTGTGTAGATTAAAATCCGATTTATGGTTGTTCAAGTACTCATTTTGTGTTAAATTTCACGAGGTCTTGGGGTTTTGGGATTTTTGTATATTGGGTTTCAAAGTCAAAATGCATCATTTCGAGCAACCTGCGCGCAGAAGGGTCGTGAGGAAAAGTGTTGAATGTTGTGATTTTTGTTGAATCAGTGGTCCGCAGGTCCAACTGGCGTTCCAGAGAAACTGAAACAGTCGGAAACAGTCGGGAGCGGCCCGGCGTGATCATGCCAAAATTGTCAATCCGCCATTTTTTTGCAAAAAAAAACTTTCCGCGCAATCCCTTTTTTTTTTTGGCAAGTGCAACGGGAAACCGTTTGAAACAGTTGGGGCTCGTACCTTTGACTCGGCAAAAAACGAGCTATTTAAAACCAGTTTATAAAGAAAATGAACCTTAAATGGTTTTAAATAGCTCGTTTTTTGCCGGGCCGCTCCCGACTGTTTCCGACTGTTTCCGACTGTTTCCGACAGTTTCCGACTGTTTCAGTTTCTCTGGAACGCCAGTTGGACCTGTGGACCACTGATTCAAAAAAAATCACTACATTCAACACTTTTCCGCACGACCCTTCTGCGCGCAGGTTGCTCGAAATGATGCATTTTGACTTTGAAACCCAATATACCCTAAAAATCCCAAAACCCCAAGACCTCGTGAAATTCAATATCATTGTGCAACGATTAAAACCAGCCGGCATTTATTTATGACAACTCCGTTTTGTTTTGTTTAAATCTAACTGTTCTTGGTTGAATTCTTGATATGTTGGATTGTCAACCACCAACCAAAAAAAAGCGGTTATAATCACAATCCACCAATTCTTTACATTACCATCTATCAACCATTTACCAACCATGTATCAACCATTTCTCAACCATTTGTTGGAGAAAGACCTGGTGTCACACATCGCCAGGTCCCTGCGCTTGGCGAGGACTGTTTTCGGATCCCCCATTGCTATTTCCTCTGGGAATTTGTCCTATGTACTTGAAATAACAATGGGTATGTGATAGGAAACGTTTTTTTTCTTTTTGCGGTTGTCCTATAACATACACAACACACACACATATATATATAATTATATATATAATTACTTCTAAAATTTAGATATGAATATATAATATACGTATGTATATGTATGTACATACATACCTGCATGTGCATATAACTATTAACTCATAGTCATTGTGTTCTGATTTCACGTTGAAAGCACTTATTCATTGGCGGGATGTTCCAAATGTTAAGCTCTAGGCGACCCTGGAGGTACCCTAAACCCTAAACCCATGGTTTGTTCAGGGGGAAAATCATCGAACTATTTTTGGGTTTTCTAGCAAGCCATGAGTAAGCACTACAGGGTACAGTACCTATAGGTACTTGGTATGATCATCAGTGTTTATCAGTGGAATCAGTGTCTCCATGATTCATCTCCCCTCCCCGTTTGATCGATGAACATGTTCCCATCAACGGGTACGGTGGGTTGTTAATTTATCAAAGATGTCATTTTCCAAAAAAAAAGGATTACCCCCTGGTAAACTAACATAGCTATGAACATCACAATTTTTAATAGGTAAATTATCTATAAATGGTTCATTTTTCAGTTCGCTATGTTGGTTTACTGGAGGGTACCATCCTCCCAACTGAGACGGACCTTGAACATCGCTACTTCACCCAATTTAGCCCTGGAATAAGACCAGGAATGTTCACAAAAAACATGGAGTTCCAACCAGGCAAAATTGCCATATCTATATCTTTCAACATATGTGACACTACCTTTTTTTTGGTAGGGACTTTTCCTACACTACATGGGTGTATCCTTTTAAGAAATGGTGCTACTCTCCAAATCGTGTGGTTTTATCCTCATTTTCCCCATGAAACGTGTTACAGGTGGTACCCCATGGCATGATGGTAACATCCATGGATTTTTCCAACCATTTGTGGAAAGACCCACAGTTATGGCCATTTATCAGTTAGAAGCACTAAGAAAACCCCATTTATAGAATGTATAATCCCATTTATAACCAATTACAACTGGTAAATGGCCATAACTGCATGTGTTGAACTCCTCATTTTCTCCATGAAAAGCCATCCAGTCGCCTTTGTCGGATGGGGAGGATGGAGAACCATTGAGCGAATTGGAGCAGATGCGAGCCGCATCGCAGGCCGGCAGACTCCGTTGGCTTGGGTTGGTGGAAGAAAGAGGAACAAAAAGAAACAACGACAATTAACAAAGGAAACACATACGTTTCCCGGTTGGTGCTTTGGAACATGAATTTTATTTGTCCATATATTGGGAATAATAATCCCATTTGACTAATATTTTTTCAGAGGGGTAGGTCAACCACCAACCACCACCCAGTTTCAGAATGAAAAAACAATCCTATTTATGGTAGCTAAGTTGGTTTAGAACTAGTATAACTAGGGTTTATGATGCTTTCTGGCAGATGTATGAAGTATTGCCAACACGTATCATGGCGGGCTGTGAAGCCTGTGGATGGTAAGGGATGGTAGTTGGCCAACTTTAGCAATCTGACTTTTGAGGTATTTCTTCACCAGAAAGCCAACTTAGTTGACTTGTTTTACAAAGGTATGGTCTATAAGTTATAAGTTGCTTTCAAAAGCCATGAGTTCGACATATCTTATCTACCATAAACCATAGCTGGTTGCTGGTTTGGAACATGAATTTTATTTGTCCATTTAGTTGGGAATAGCAACCCCAACTGACGAACTCATATTTTTCAGAGGGGTTGAAACTACCATAAACCATAGAATATCACCAACCAGATCGAATATTCACCTACTTCAACCAACTTAGCGACTTCGTAAGACCCAAGGCTATGGACCTGGGCATTGACCGCCGCATGAGCCATGAAAATTTGGGGATTTCTTCATGAAACATGGGTGTTAGCCACTGAAACTAGAGATATAAGTGATACTATAAATCATGAATGATGGTTGGTTGCGGGTTGATGGATTATTAAATGGTCATTATACTACCTAGTTTGTTCGTTGATTATGACAACCCATGATAGGGATGCCTATCAACCAATTAAGCAATACAATGTGGTGGGATAGGGGTATTTTACATGGTCCTCGTTTGATTCACCAGTAAATCACGCGAAGCAAGATCTCGTAAATCACCGTGGTATCCACTTGTAATCAAGTCACGGCACTGAAGATAGATTCTTCGTCTAAGATGTCCACTGGCATGTTTGATTAGCAGAGGGTACCCACTCACCAATCATTTTCAACTACCATATGTGTATATACATATATATATATATATTATACATATAATATATATATATATTATATATATTATATACATATATATATATAATTACATGTGTAGACATCCGCATGATATTTCGATCGTCTCCTTTGAGTTCAGCCTGGCCATCCCGCAGCTTTTGAAGCCAAAAGTCGCCGGTGCCATCGCGACCGCCCTGCCGTTCAAATCGTTGAACGGCGCCGCCCAGGACAGGCTGTGTGGCCCTGGTGATTTCCGCCAAGTTTGGTATATATAGATATATATGTATGTTTATGTAAGTTTTAGATTTAGGATTGATATAGGTATATAATTACGTAGGTATAGATATTGAATATATAGATATTGTAGCCCACCAAAAATTGGGTTTGACACACTGTTCTATGATGAATAATATTGCAGGTTTGAAGCAATGTAGGCAACGTATTATATACAGAGATATACATAATACACATGTATACATTATATACATACATATATATACACATAATATATATATACATTATATATATACATTATATGTATATATACATTATATATATATACATATTATATATATACATTATTTATATATATATACAATTATATACATACATACATACATACATACATACATACATACATATATATATACATACATATACGCCCTTAATCACTCTTCGCTATACCCTTCCTGGCTCTGTCCCAGTCACAGGACCGGTGATGGTCTTTGAAGTGGAGCTGCAGGCGGAACTGATCAATGAAGGGATCGAACTATGTAAAAACTGGTGAACAATGGTGATTGTTAGATACTGGTTGGTGGTTTGGAAATTGAATTTTGTTTTTCCATTCAGTTGGGAATTTAATAATCCCAACTGGCGAACTCATATGTTTCAGAGGGGTATAGGTCAACCACCAACCAGTGATTGTGAGATATTGTGATAACTTGTGCACAACATATGGTTTCATCATGTTTTACAAGTGTGAACAGTGAACAGTTTTCATCACAGGATGTTGCCATCATTGGGGGGTTCACGCAACATGTGAACAGATCCAGGTCTTGAAGCAACGATGAAACAACTGGCGTTAGACGTTTGTTTCCTCCCTGAACTATAGTAACTATACCCTTTAAGGTACTGTAACAGTGTGCGAACTGGAAACTGGAAAAACAACATCATTTTTTTAACTAGGTGAATCATCGAACTAACTGGGCCATGTTACCATGTTCCGTAGTTATCTGCTCACCGCCTCCCGGGATGATGGCATGCTGCTTCACCCACGGATATATAAATATTGATAGATAGAACTTATAGACATCGACATAGATATCAACATATACATATAGAGAATATATATATAAGTATATATATACTGTACATATTATATCATGAGTATCACAAAAGTAATCTCAAATACAATGGCTCCCCTACCAATATAATTGAAAATTATGAGAACAGTTCCTTTCGTCCACTGATTCATAATCATGTTCTTTATACAATGGATAAACACAGAAATTTTGGGGTATGCCATATACATCCATGTACCCCATGTCCGCACAACCCCGGATCCGAAGCCCAGAGGGCTAGATCCGTAGCTTCATTGGATTTTACCTGCATTTTGGCTGGTTCATCATCACTGTTGTGTTTAAACCGTTGAATAATGTGAGTAGAACAATAGGACCCACCATCCCCAATTTTACTGTCATAAACTGGTGGGATTTCAACCATACAACTATGAATCGTTTACGACATTGCTTTATTTTACGAACATTACCCTCTGGTTATATCGCAGTTTGCTATGGTATAGATGGCCCATTTACGTTGACGAATTCTGGTGATGTATACCGGATTTTTTAATGATGATTTTCCAGTTCGCATTGGGCCATACTAAAGCAACAAACATCCAAAACTAATACAGTAGAGCAACTAAAGATTCTTATAAAGATTTCCTACAGAAACTTTACTAACATTACATGCAACAAACCATCCATAACCCATAGGATCCATGGTGCTGGTATATATGCTAACATAAAGAGGGTATATTGATGGGATCCATGTTACCATATATAGCAGCACCATGGATCCGTCATGGGTAATTGCTTGGGATTTCAAGCATCAAACATTACCAACAAACGATCAGGTCCGCCTGAAGCCTGGCGAAGCACCCAGGCGAGAGTCTCGGGGACGTGTCGGGGACGTGGGGAGGGCAATGGACATCATTAGTGACATGAAACTCTGTTGGACATGATTTGTTTGATTTATTTAACTATTATGTAATGGTTTAGTCAATGTGTTTTGAATAGTTATTAATGTATGATTCAAGATGTGTATCTGATATAGCTGGTATAATCAGGTGTATATATGTTTATATATGTTTATATATGTCGTTTCGTCTGTGTCTTTCTTATCTGATACGATGCCAGTGGTGACTGTCAGTGTTCAGCCCATCAATCAGGAGAGAACTCAGGCCAGTATTGAATGGTTCACTTCCAGCCAGAAGGGGGTGATACCCTCTGGTAAACATACAAGAAATTATAGAAAATCACCATTTTGAATGGGAAAATCCACTATCAATGGTCATTTTCAATAGCTATGTTAAATTACCAGAGGGTAACGGAGGAATTTAATGGGTGATCATGTTTTCTTCACTTGACGCCTTAGTTGTTAGGTTTAAAAGGGAGTAGTGTCGATTTTCTGTCAATCCCAATTTGATAAAGATGTTATTGGCACCTCGCTCAGTGAATTACATCATCAATATTCCCTTATATATTAAAAATCAAGCTGCCGCGTGTTATTTTGCAAAGGCACAGTTTTGCATCTGTATTTGCACCCCACGTAAAACATAGCTGTATCATAGTTGCATCTTACAGCTGTTGCGGCTCAGTAAAAAGGGTATTGCGGTCGCAGATGCTTAACGGTTGTTTCCCCGTGTTCTAGGTTTATCAGTCTATTTGGGATTATAACATAACCCCAGCTGAAACCTGAAAATACAGGTTATCAGCCGTAGTCTCTTAAAGCCATGGAAAGGACAACTGGAGACACCTCAGGTGGAGGCGCCCTTGTCCCCTCGTCTGGAGCAGCGATTGCAACAACTGGTTCACAACAAAGCTTGCCGGCTGGGACAAACCCCACGCCCATGTCAGTGGATGAAGGTTTCTTCACACAGCCCGTGCAAGCATATTTCCAGTTCGTGCAAAACAATCTTACCTACATCAACGAAGGTAACATTGATGCTTTCAGGCAAGAGGCGGAGGAGAGGCACACACATCTCATGGAGCAAAAGGTCCAGCAACTGTACCAAGAGTTTGAGGGAGTTTGCCTTAGCGAAATTGCCCATCAACGTGCAGAAGCGGATCGCAGACATGAACACCTAGTGTCAGAGTATTCAGTGTCCCAAACGGCAGCTGAGCATGAGGTAGCAAAACTGAGACAGGAACTTAGCGATGCAAACGCAAAGCTAAAGAACGCTGCAAATGCGGTTGCACTGGAAGCTGAACAAAGAGCCAACCAAAAGGTAGCCCATATTACAGCCCAGTATGAACAAAGGTTTTCTGAACTCAGAGGTAGCCTCGAGGCAGACTGTAAACGAATCGTGGACGAAACAGTGGAGTATGCAAAGAACGGCATGGAAGGTTTCAAGAAGGAGGAACAAGCCGTAATTCAGGAGATTAGAGAGGAATGCAGTAGGCAGGAAAACCAAGCTGCTGAACTCAATTTCCAATTGCAGGGACAAGTCGAGGATTTGATGGAGAAGCTCAACAAGTACAGCGCCCCGGAAATCAGTGTCGACAGAGCCGTCGAAGTTGATGACGCACAAGGCGGTAATAATGTCGATCTGTACATGACCCCAAAATCAGCGGTCGGTACCAAGGCTGGAGCAGAACCCATGCCAAACACTGGTATGAGTAGCTTAGCC